GTCATAAGTCTAGCATGCAATGAACGAGTACAAAGTCCAACGAGCACATCCTTCGGACCTCGGGGACTTTGCTGTGACCATTCTGAGGAGAGAAAAAAAGATCTGCAGAACTGGAACCTACGGACAACTAACAGAATGAACAGACAGATGAACAGGCATGGAATTGTGGCTGAAGCCACCCAACATCAATACAAAGAATTCATGGAATTGCCTTTACAATGTCATTTCTTTCGCTCAGCTGCCTCTTCTTTCTTTCCCTTTGGGAACTTCACAAAAGTTGCAGAATGGACAGAACATCACATCAGTTTTTTTTGCCCATTTTTTCTGGACATTTCATTTTTCAAACAATTATATGCTCTAGCAGAGAGTTCTAGTTGATGAATAGAAGAGAGTTCTAGTTGATGAATACAAATTTTCTGTATGTTTTCTTTGACTTTTCTATAACAAAAACAGTAAAACTAGAATACAGTTCGTTTCCAAAGGAGACAAAACATGTGCGAGCAGCAGGCTCCATCATGTCAACTCAGCATCAGGTAGGGACCACAGCCCCTCTTTCGTGTCAGAGGACATGGCCGTTATCAATTCAAGGTCTGGCAAAATGAATAAATTGTGACTGGAGGGGAAAGCAAGCAAGGGAAGAAAGAAAGACAGCAATAAAAGAATCGAGCATGAGAAAAGAGGTACAGGTTGAGGACCACGAGTGAGTGTGTGTGTGCGCACATTCGGCGCAGGCACGCACTTAACTGTAAACGGACGTTTTGAATAAATGGGGGCTGTGCAGAGTTCTACCTTGCTCCAAGTGAAAACTTCACCATCATCAAAAGCAAGCGTCAGAATTCCCACGGGATCAACTTGAATTGAGCGCCCCCAGAACTTGCTTTTGAGGTTCGAATCTCCCCAGAATTTCCATCCTCTCCCATCACAATGGCAAGCAACTATGGTTGGATGGTGACTAACCTGTGCCCCACCCGGACATGCACCCAAGCGGCGGGGAAAAAAAAAAAAGAAACACCACCACCACCCCCACAACAAGAATCCGGCATACAACCCGCCAAACACGCCCACCTCCCTTTCCCCCCCACCCACACACCCACCCGCCAAGCCATCAACCAAACAATCCATTGCTCAAGTTAACCAACCAACCAACGACTTCACCACGCATCACTACCGAGCCATAATGTCCTCATCCATCAGAAAGAGACAGTCAAATCTCGTCAGTCAACCTGGTGTGCGAGCTTCAACAAGGTTTTAGCAGACCGGACTTTATCATCTACTCCAATGATTGAGTTCGTTCAATACGCCCTTGCTTCTGTCTATAGGCCGAAGGCCAGAACTCTACCATGCCTATAGCGTATATTATGACTTACATACAAACAAAGGTGTCTATCGTGTGTATACTCATCTCTAAGTCATAATTTGCTTTAGGGGCATGCCACCCTGCTCAAGCCGGTTCCCGTATTAGAACGAGTTACAGCTTGCTAGGCCCTCACCCTTCCAGCGAACACAATCATCTTATCACATGCAGACAGTACAATGCATTTTCCATCCAATAATGTCTTTCCTCACAGGAAGAGAATGCTGAGCAGAAGGCTCTCTTGTTGAATAGATGTAACTGCCGTATTCACCCGAATGGAACGCTTGGTCATCATCGCTGTAGTTCCGGCGACTTTCAGTCCAGATGCAGCGATAATGGCCGGACGTTCTATTCGGGTGAAGACGGTAGGGACCGAAATAACCAGCCAACCCTGATGAGAAATATTTAACTACCAACCACAGGTGGTGTTCTTCGTAATTCCCAATGCCAAAAGCAATGAGACCAAAAAGAACGAGAGCCACACTTCATAAACCGATGAATGACATGCCAAAACAGAACAGGACATACGCCATACCTCACTCGCACTTTTTCCTTTTGCTTCATGATGGGATTTTTTGTGCAGTGGTATGTACTCTATGTGGAAGGTAATAGGAAGCCGAGTCATCAATGCAGATAAAGAGCCATCATGGGGAGGGCATGAATAATGAATATTCAAACATTGTGCAGCATACTGCAAGAGTTCATGTCCCTTCACTCGAGCTGTGGCATGCACTCAAAACAAACATGCAGAACAATAAGAAGGTCGATGAAGGCCATCACATATTCAGACTGCCAACAGGCAGAGACACTACCTTCTTCCCCCAAATACAACGTACGCCGTATGGTAATTATAGCTGTATTTAGACTGAAAAATACCCCAAATACAGCTATATAGCACAGGAGAGAAACAGGTGATAATTGGATGCAATCTAACGCAAGGAAAGTGTAAATCGCATTGATAAGAGAGAAAACGAAATGCAGCGCACCCACAATGGCTGCCTCTTCTACCGCCTCACCAGAGGGCAGGCATTGATATGAGATAAAACGAAATGCAGCGCACCCACAATGGCTGCCTCTTCTACCGCCTCACCAGAGGGCAGGATATTGGAACCATCCCACGCTAGCAGGGATGCTTCTCCTCACATCTGTGGCCAAAAGTCATCGGACCTCAACAACGTCCATCTTTCGCCACCAAGACCGGGCAAACAGTTGAGCCACCAGTACATGGCCCAAGCCAACTTGAGAGTCAAGAATGAGACTCTCCAAAAATTAAGGGGCTAGGCCCAGCATTGCAACCGGGAAGCAAGACAGTGCACCCAAGGAAAAGGGGCAAATAGGCTGCAAGATGTCCTGCTGGTTCATGTCGTGCACATGTGGAAACGCATGCAACACATGCACGGATGCAGAAGGTGCAGAACGCCCTGCCTCACTTGCAGGGTAAAAGTGAAAAAGAAAAGAAAACAAAGGTGGGATTCTGCTAGTACATTCGTAAATGTATCAGATTGGGATTACAGCCAGGGTTGGATGAACCTGAAGGCAATCACGTCCAGAGCTTAGTAGAAAAAGTATCAGAGCTTAGTAGAAAAAGTATCTGATGTTTTTGCTCTTTCTCAAGTCACTCCCAGGGTTGGGATTACTGCCTCCTTGCCACGAGAGACGGGGAGGAATCATGTCCAAATCTCAGCCGGCTGGTTTTCCTTTCTTTTCCTTTTTTTTGTTTTGCTTCTCAAGTAAGCTCTGGACGTGATTGCCTTCAGCTTCATGCAGGCCTTGCCGTAAGTGCAGTCGATACATCCAGGAAAGTGCTACCGTCTTCACCCGAATAGAGCGCCCGGTCATTATAGCCATATGTGGTGCAAATTCCAGTCCAGATACGGCCATTATTACCGGGCATTTTATTCAGGTGAAGACGGTAGGGTGAGTACGCCCATCGGTTTTCAGGGCATATTTCTGCTAGCATTTCCCCGAATGTATCTGACTGCACTTAGAGCCAGGCCTGGATGAACCTGAAGGCAATTACATCCAGAGCTTAGTAGAAAGACTCCCTGCGTCTGTATGCTCTTTCTCGAGTCACTCCCCACCTCATTGCTGTGAGAGGCGGGGAGGAATCAATTCAGAGTCAGCCAGTTTCTTTGCAGGGCATAATACGCAGGCTAGCAGTGTCCTGAATGCATCTGACAGCAATTACAGCCAGGCCCGAGGTGGCACATGCGTGAAAACGAGACAATGACGGCCTCCTTTACCTTCCATCTTCTGGCAGCAGGTCCTGCATTTCAGTTTCCCGCAGACCGCTACTGATACCACTCAAATTTTCCGAGCGAGTGATACCCGACGCTTCCAGGCTCGGCAAAATTCAAAGTTAGGCTCGTTCATTTAGCCTCAGATGTACTGGTGGTTTGACAGCTTAACTGATTAGCATCAATACTGTTTTGGTTAGGGGAGGCAGCCAAGGGATGGACCAAGGAGTTCAGTCCCAAAAGGTAGGCCGCAGGTGATAGCTGAGGAAACATTGGCATCGCACGGTGTTGCCGCAGCCTAGTTTCACTTTCCCAGTAAAGATCACACTTCTGACTTCAAGATTAAGAAGTGTCTAGTGAAAGAAAAAAAAAGTGACTGGTGAGGTGACAGCAAGGCTGTTTTAACATCACCCTCGGGAGAGGGAAACAATAGCATTTGTTCCATATCCTCCAAGAAGACTTCCACATCAGACACATTCGCAATTCACATGCATTCGACTTGGTCAAAAAGAGCTAGAGAATCGCCCTTGCTGCCTCACAGCTATCTCACCATCCCCCAGATCTAAGTGTCATCTCTCCTCTTTAGCCTCCCCCATGGGACACATGGTCTTGATTTCACGCTCCTACTGGACTGGCGATCCCCCTCTGCCTTCTGTGTCAAGCATAAAGCGTCCAGAGGACAGGGACTTGGACAAGAGGCTTTTCCCTACTACCTCTACAAGCACGGTGGATCACAGACACAACAGTGAGTCTGAAGATGCTACACCAACAGACAATTGATCACCTGGAGACCAACAGCGGACCTGATTCACTTTAGCAGACACGTGAACCATCAGTTTAGCTTTGTCCTTCTGATGGAGATAGCAGGCAAAGTTGACCCGCATGCATATTCATACTGCTGTGTGTACTCTCCATGTGAACTGCTCCGTCTACTCTACTTGTGAACTGCTTCGTGTACTGTGCATGTGAACTCCTGCGCGTACTCTACTACAGCTTTGGACTGCTACATGTATGCTGCATGCACAGAACACCTTTGAGGCCATCAACTCTCACTAAACTTTCCTGATGAGAATGGGACCCTACCATCCCCAATCATGTTTAAATGCCTATGGTTTGGGCCTCTTACCAGAATTTGTTCATTGTCTCCTTCATGTCCACTCTTTCATTTGGTAGATATTTACATTCTATATTGACAAATTTGCTGCATTCAATTCACAACGTTCCCTTCACATCCAGAGCACAACAGTGAGTGCTGGTTATCAACACTCACTTTCTCTGCAAAAAACCGCAGACCTTGCTCAGGTCTTTCTGCTTCATACGTCTCCCCCAGCAATGGGTTGAACGGCTTGTTCGTCCGCCCCTCCGTTGATGCATATCCAGACACAGCAAACGCAGCCACGTTCAAAATCCTGCCTTCACTATCACCCTGCCAAAATGTATAAATGACAAAATCCAATCACTGCAAATGAGCGCCGCAGATCGCAGGTAGCATTAAAACCACAAATGCCAATACATCACTTCAGAAGATGGAGCAACCCATTATACATAATTCTGAAAAGGTTTAGTTACTCATCAGCTGCAGGCTACATCGGAAGTCTGATGTGTAGCTGCCAGACTCACCTTGCCAATGAGGGCAGCAGATCGCGGATAGCATTAAAACCACAAATGCCAACACATCACTTCAGAAGACGGAGCAACCCATTACATAATCCTGAAAAGGTTTTAGTTACTCATCACTGTCATCAGCTGCAGGCTACATCGGAAGTCTAATGTGTAGCTGCCAGACTCAGCTTGCCAGGATTTGCAGCCCATTAGACAATTGAATCATTCTGAAAAAGACAAATAACTAGTAGTTGCTCGTCAGCTGCAAGCTACCTGAGAAGTCTCCTGTAAGGCTGCCAGACTCAGCTTGCCAGGACTTCCAACACGCAAAGGCTCACACCACAATGAATTGCTTTAGTCTAGACGCTTCACTATCCCATCCACATAGAGAGGGAGAGGAGATAGCACACGAGACCACAAAGTGTTACTTACCCACACTTCTGTATCACAATCTTCAGTTTCCCCACAATATAGAGAAGGAGAGGAGATCGCAATCCCCACACTTCTATACTACGATCTTCAGTTCCCATCAACATAGAGAGGGACAGGAGATAGCAGATGAGATCACGAGGAGTTACCCCCCACGTCTGCATTATGATCATGGTTGCCCCGGACCCGGACATCCAGACACCGGACACCAGGCCCGGACCAGTGTCTGGATTAATCCGGACACCGATCCGGACAACCGGACATACGGAACCGGACGGTCCGGTTATGAATGGACAGGTCAGGCTGTCCGGATTAAACACACACACACACACACACACACAAACAAACAAACAAACAAACACAAAAACAAAAACAAACAAACAAACAAACAGACACACTGCTGTAGTTGTTATTATCCGACTTATTTTGAACACACTTACATACACACACACTGTCGTGTCGTGCACACACACACACACACACAGACCACTTTTCTCAGGGGTGTCACTAACTCTGGGCGATGTCATGAACCCTTATCCATCAGGCAAATGAATCCTGGGCAGACTATCGGGGTTCAACATCCTGATGAGTCGGTGAAAGTCCGACGAAACAGTGGCACAGTCATGCTTTTTTTGAGTGTATAGCGAATATGACACCACACACACACACACACACTTCTCCTTGGCCCGCTGAAACTCACGCAAAATTGCAAGCACAGGCCCCTCAGGGCCGGTCCGGTTGGCCCAACAGTGCACCAAAAACTGCGCCAACAAATTTTGGGGGTCCACCAGGCACTGGAAAATCGCCTGGGGACCCCAACTTTTTTTTCGAATTTTCTCAAAATGGGGCCCAACCGGACCCCTCAAACCGGACACAGGATCTGGACATCCAGACTGGACCGTCTGGATCCCTATCCAGATGTCCGGTTGACAACCATGTTGTCACAGGGGCATTACACTACGCTAGAGCGACATGACACAAGCGACCATGCAGTCAGAGTAGCGTTCTTGGTAGGACACCTCACTGCCGTGTCTGATGTAGATATCAATATCCCACGGTCTAGTCTAGAGTTCCTGTATATGTCATGATGCCGGAGAGGTCACCGAGCATTCGACACACTTGCCTGCTCTACTGGCTTTCCCCCGAACATAACGCATATGCGTTGTAAACAATTACCTCGCACAGGTTGCTTTCTATTTGAATACAACACGTATGTGTTCTATTCGAACATCACTGCAATTCGAATACAATGCATGTGTTTTATTCGATTTTTTTTTAAACTTGAATACAACGCATATGCGTTATGTTCGGGGGAAGACGGTAGTAAGGAGGAGGACATGTGATCCACCACTCAACAGTCTGTGGATGGTCGCTTCTCATGGAGGACATCTGCATCATTGCACAGAAATCATGTCAAGAACACGAGTCATGCTGTGAACCACCACAAGATTACCACACGGTCCCGAGTGGTCGGAAGCACGAGGACCCTCCAGTGGCCAGGTCCATGTACCAACGACAGAAGACCGTCAGGTCAGAGCTCAAGGCTCTCACCAGGATGTGCACGCTGCAGCTTCATCTGACGGCCCCCGAACGCATCCTGCAGGACATCGATGCTGAGGGCCACATGAATCGTTTCACCAGAGAGTAGGAAGGGGAAATCTGGGATCAGCATCATGTTGCATTGCAATTGCCAAGTAGGACAGCACAGAAAGTCTATGGCGATGGGGATGAACAGTCATTAGCAGCAGCCAGAGAACAGAGCCTAGAAAAATCCTCTACAAAATTGCAGTCAGGAGGATATTGGTTATGCCCCTCATCCTTGGTACACCAATTAAATTGGAACCACACAGAGAAGTAAGCATGGTCCTTGTACAAGGATGGCACACACAAATTGTAAAAACGAGTCACCCACACACAAATCGCAAAAAGGAGTACGATCATGCTCCATAGGGGCAAGTGAGTCTGTCCCAATTCACCAAGATAACATTCCAAACCCTAAAAGTCCTGACCCATCCCTATAGGTGATTCAGAGTTCCAAACCATAAATGCCCTAGCCCATCTCTATGGGTGAGCTGGGAAGATGAATTAACGTAGCGGGGAAAGGATCCGCGCTGACTATGGGAGGCAAAGGTACTGTGACCGTGCTCAATTAGCACATATCAGTCGTCTATTTGCAATTGAACAAGGCAATGCTCCACTCCTGAATGTTGTGGTTGATCTCTACTCGTGGAATTTCCAGAAAAGATGAACTCACCAGTGGGGGCAAAGGAGCCCAGCTCACTGCAGGAGGCACGAGTACTGCAACCGACCATGGCTCATATATATTGTCAATGACATACCACAACGGGGGCCAGTACACAGTCCGTAGGCTGCACCATGGTCTGGCAGACGGAGGAGGCTCGTGAGGCCTAAGAAGGGTAATGCTTTCATGATTCAGTGTAAATCAGGGTAACTGTTGACATGAATTCTAGCAGACTGAAGCATTACCAGGCCACAGCAACATGTGTATGGCTCCCCCCCCCCCCCCCCCCCCCTCCCACTGTTCAGTGTAGTACTACGTTTCTTCCCCGCTGAAAGCTAAGCTGTTTATGCGGTCCGATGATGTCATGGTGAGCTACACACGAGCAGATGCTCATGGGGTAGGGGAGGGGGGCTACCCACCCTCACCCTCAACTATTCAGTTCAGTGCCATATTTCTCCCACACTCTGTATTCAGAAATTTGTTTACGGGGTTCGATGACGGCATCGTGAGCTGTGTTGGCCCTCGGTTGCCCGACTTCTTGTTGCAGTTCTGTCATATCACTCATCTGCTTCTACTGCCAAGCTAATGCCCATGCTACTGATGCAATCGCTTGCTGCTACTGCCCCGGTATTGCCTCTCTCTATGTGTGAGATAAAAAGGGAGAGAAACATCTGTGTGTGTGTGTGTGTGTGTGTGTGTGTGTGCGGGTGCGTGTGTGTGTGTGTGTGTGTGTGTGTGTGTGTGTGTGTGTGTGTGTGTGTGTGTGTGTGTGANTGTGTGTGTGTGTGTGTGTGTGTGAGCACAAGCAAATAGAGAGTGAGGCAGGTCACTTTCACCAGGGTGCTCATTGGCAAGGACTCGAGTACAATAGCATGCATAAAAGGACTCCCGCAATTGCAAGCGCGGCCCCCGAAAACAACGAGCAAGAATGACAAACGGGAAAGGCTGTGGGCGGCCAGTCCAGTAGGACTTGGGGCTGATGACTGGTTCCAGCCAAGATTCTCATCTGGGCCATTGGCCTGGTAGTACTGGACCTGCAGGCCGATTTGATGCCCAATCTTCGTATTGTGAGGGCCGTAGGCCCGGTAGAGCGCAACAGCGTGGATCACGGACTTGTTACATGTGCGACTATCCTGGCCATCGCCCGGTGGGACCGCGTATGGTACCGATTTCAGACCTGCTACGTTGGCATTTTATTTATAGTGAGGGCATAGATGAAAGAACCAAGGTCAGGAAAGAACTGAAGGTGGTGATGACCAAGCCAAGAACATTGTGAATACCGGAGTTGAAAACACATCTCAGGTTCACTCTTGTTCATTCAATTGATAAAACAACAAAGTTTGTCCAGGCAATTCGCCCAGAGGCAGAACGAGCAGAGCAGGATCACCATGTGGGTGAAGCATGAATATATTAGGGAGATATCCCGGGGGCCCGGGTCCCGACGTCACACCGGGTTTGGCGACCGGGTGACCGACCGGGCATGAACCCCGGGCATGGGCTCGGGTAGCCCCAGCGCAAAAAAGAAAAAAAAGAAAGTTGTGTAGAATTGCAATACAAACAACTTTTGGCTGAGGGTCACATCAGAATTCCTCACGGAACTGAAGATAAAAAAAGAAAATAACCAAATCACACGAAAGCACCCCCCTTAAAACCCCCTTAGCCCCTTTAACATTCATTTATACTCCCCTTCCCCCCCCTTGACAGCCAACGCTCAAAAAAAAAAAGAGAGCCCAGATTTGGGCTCCTCTCGGAGAGCACGGAAAAACCCCACCGCCAATTTTTTGTTTTTTTCCTTTTTATTTTTTCCCCCATGCCCGGGTGTCCCGGGCGTCACGCCCTGCTGACCGGCCGGTCACGAAAATCTTCCTAGTGAATACACAGAAACTCACCAGAACATTCATCAAAACAATTGTGAGAGGCAAGTTACCAGTGCTGGCAGGGATGGACGTAGAAAGTTCGGCCCCTGGCCAGAGTTGGAGTGTATGAATGAGGAAACATGCAGGGGGTAGGCATTGCCACATCAGTTCTGAAGTCATAGCAAACTGCTAAAAACGCGTTCCTGTCTCATCAACTGTGCCCAGCAGATGAGGGGAAGCAGGTCTGAAGTCATAGCAAACTGCTAAAAACGCATTCCTGTCTCATCAACTGTGCCCAGCAGATGAAGGGAAGGAATGTTGGATGATGCATTGGGATACCAAATAGCAGGGAAGCCACTTCATCAGAGACGGTCATGCAAAGCAGGCCATCATGGTGAACGCAGAGGTGTGCACCCCAGAAAGTACAGGAGTCATATGCACTGCTGTTTTGTGGCAGTCGACCCCATGAAAGAACAGCCTCAATGAGGTGACACATGAATGCACACTGCCAAGCAGCATGAAGATCACCTTAACCAGGACCATCAACGAAGCAGGGCTCATCCCAGTACAACCTCTTGTCGATCTCCAGGCCAGCGCTGGTTTCCGCAGGAATACCAACAACCTGATTCCCAAGCATACCCTACGCAGTTTACGGATAGATGTGAGTGACAACATAAGTTCCACAAGTGTCAAAGAACCAGAGAGAAAAGAGTGTCAGCGCCTGAATCAGTTGTCCCACCAGCCAGAATGGGATCCTCAAATCACCATGCAAACAGAAATAACAAGATTCCTCTTGCGCATCACGAAGGGCATAGCAGGTGCTTCATCATTTGCTTTTGCCACAATCGCGCACCAATACTATCGTGAGGAAGACTGGTGGACATAGTGGTAAAGTCGACGTGTGCAGAGAGAGGCCAGAGAGAGAGGGTGCACCGAAGTTAGGACCAAGCCCCACCTTCCGGACACTCCAGCATCATTGGGTGCCAGCCTCTTGAAGCAGCACATTGCTTTTCTCACAAAAAGTGGATATCACGGTTATCACCCCTTGCAAGCATCATTCAAATATGCAGAAGTGATGTCTTGCTAGCCAATTGCTCCTATGGATGTCATTCACAAATGATTTATATAGGTAGACGAGCGAGCATGGCAGGAAGCAGAAAAGATAATCCTTCTCTGTGGCACTGGCAATTCTGCAAAGATCAGGAGGGGATTCATCATAGTATAGATACAACAGTGTGTTTCATCGAGCTCCATATGATCGGACAACATATGTATGAGAGTATCATCAGTGGTGGTCCAAACTGCTACGACAATCAAGGATGCCAGCAACAAATTCAGAAGGGAAGTGCATGAGAGTACCATCCATCAGTGGTGGTCCCAAGTGGTACGACAATGAAGGATGCCAGCAACAAATTCAGGAGGGTAGGTCAAGGTCGCGATGAGCGGACAGATGAAATGAGCGTACCATGTCCGAATAAATTGCGGGATTGTGCAATGTCTTATCCTTTGGGATACGGTAGAATACTATTGTCAACGTCGCGAACCCATATGTGCTCCAGAGACTATCTTCTACCAGCATCAGACACTACCTATTGCCAACGTCGCAAACCCATATGTGCTCCAGAGACTATCTTCTACCAGCATCAGACACTACCTGGGCAATTATCATATCAGAAAGCTTTGATATGGAGGGTAAAACAAGAAAGGGAGTCGAGACGATTACCAGCCATTCCACCTTCATCTTCTCACTCTGATTTATTTAGCAGCTATCAGATGTGACTCGATGAAACAGTGGCTTCATCACTGCATACACTCTATTTCATGGACTCGGATGCACTGGGCCTCACATCCTGGGTTAGGAAAGAGCAACAGTCCTCTCTCCCCAACTGTTCGTTGAAAACTGCCAAATCCATGACAAGAACAAAAGCCTGTCAAAGAATGGGCCAGCTTGATAGATGATGTTGTGAGTGCTAGCATCAGATCGGACGTGAAGTGTCTACCACTTTGTCCCTCTCCTATTGAACCCTTAGGGTCGAAGTGAAGCAATGAATCCGCTTTCTCACATCACGGCTCCTCACATCATCAACCACGCAAGCTATTTATTGACATTTTGAATGGTTTCCAAACCTGATACCAATGTACTACCGAGTCAAGAGATCAAACCCGCCTTCGCCTGGCAGATAAACAGGGAAGACATCTTTGACACTGTTTGATGAGCAATACTGATTACATTTCAGTGCAGTGTTTTCAGCTCTGGGAATCGAGCAGAAGCTAGACATGCTATTGAGTTTTACTTCCATAATACGCAGGTGTGTTGGCACACATTCCTGGGAAGTCGATCGTCTGAGACCATGAACCCCGTTTTACCCAGCTAATTGTACACAGCCGAACAGCTGGGGGGAAAAAAACAAAAAAAACAAAAAGGACCACAATTTTTTGCCGAAAATCTCATCTAACCATTTTTAGATTGACACTCGCTGTCGTTATTGTCAAGTCCATTTGCACCACTGCAAAACCCATATTTTTAGCTTTAAGAAATTAAGAAGGTACTTGACATTATACCAGATTTAGAGCTGGTGTCACAGAGTATAACTTCTACCAGCTCATCTCACAGCATAAACAGCCCAGTCCTATCGCAATTCAAAATTTATCACAATCGGAAAGGGAGGGAGATAAGGAGGAAAGGCGGAAAGGAAGGGACGGGAGGAATCGAATCATCACAAACCAGAGTAGTGAGAGAGTGTCTTTTCTTTTCAGACTCTACTTGCATCCTGTGCAACTTATCCGCAGAAAACAGATCCACGACTATGCATCACAGGCACACAATAGTAGGCATATGACAGAAAGGCTTGAAAAAATCACCGACTAAAATGGGTCTGTAAGTGTTTCCAGGCCCTGGAGATTAGCAAGAAAGCACAAGAAAGGGAGGAAAACGTGCACAACAGCAACTAGGAAAAGCAAGGAGAAGGCTGGCCAGACGATTTTTAGTTGTCAATCAGCCACAGAGGGGGTAACTCAGAGAAAGACGGAAGATGCCAAAGCAGGTGCACAAATCTGAGGAAGAGAGGACCGGGAAGAATGTCGTAATAATGGAGAAAGTGGGGAAAACTGACAACCACAGACAGAGACAGAGAGAGACAGAGGGGGAGAGAGAGAGAGA